ACCACCGAATCCACCACGACCACCGAAGCCACCACCGAAGCCACCGCGGCCTCCAAATCCGCCCGGTCCGGCACCGGCAAAGCGATCCTCACGAACCTCCAAAGACCGACCCTGCCAGTCGTAGCCATTGAACTGTTGGATAGCATTACGGGCATCCTCCGGAGATTCAAAGGCGACAATGCCGGAGCCCTTGGGACGTCCAGTAGCATCGGTATGAACATCGGCACGGACGACGGCGCCTTGCTGAGCTGTAAAGTGTTCTTGGGTCAATCACGGATTCAAATTCCGGACGCAGAATGGGAGTGAAGGTTGGCAAACGAGGTTGTTTGGAGGGAAGCCTCTGTCTTGCACTTACCTGCTTGGCGGAAAAGATCCTTCAGGTCCTGCCAGCCAACATTGAATGGAAGCTAAACGTGCCTAAGTCAATATCTCTGCCGTGCGTGATCTCGCATTATATCCAAGGTACGAGGACGGGGGCAACAAACATTGGACACGTAGAGCTGTCTTCCGCCAGCTCCACCACCGTAACCACCACCACCACCGCCGCCACCACCAAAACCGCCGCGGCCACCGCCGCCGCCGAAATCCCCACGAGAAGGGCCACCGGTGAAACGAGGTTCGGGTTCACGGTCCTGAGACGTGTCAGCATGTGGGAGAGCCCGCTGTGGAGGCATTAAAGGGCTTGACATACCTCGCGAACGTAGACTAGACGACCCATAAGGTTCTGGTTGCTAAGCGTGTTGACCGCATTTTGCGCTTGCTCCCTGGTCGCGTATTCCACAATCCTACTCGACGATCAGTAATGCCTTCCAGGTGGACATAACGGGGCGTCATGCAGAAACATACCCGCATCCCTACAGTATCCCGGACGGCCAGGCCCAGCCCGTCAACCCAAACAGTCCATCAAAACGAACCAACAAGGGGAAATGGAAAAAAAAGCCAGAAACACAAAGGGGAAAAGGAACCAGCCACACTACGCATTGGCGCCCACCTTCGACATTCCATTGGGAAGTAATAAGACGTCGGCAAAGATGACCTCACCAGCTGTACGGCGCGGAAAGATAGTCCCCCTCCAAGTCAGCCACAGATTCCAATCCAACAAAAAGCGCATCACATCTCCGACACAATATGACCCTGCTCACCCTGTCTCATAAAGTCTTTCAAGTGATGCCACTTGACATCGTAGGAAAGGTTTCCCACATAGACCCGACGGTCTTGTTGGGAAGACTCGCGCACTGCTTGCATCATTTGTTCTTTGGCGACAGCGCGGTCCTCAAACGATCTCGGAGGAGGCGGGTAGCTGCTGCGTCCACCGTAACCGGAACCAGAATGTCCTCCAGAGGCGCCTGGTGCAGTACTCATAGGCGAACGGGAACGGCGTTCACTGCGGCGATAATCGTCACGACTCCGAGAGCGACTCCGAGGCGAATAGGAGCGACGGCTACGTCGAGGGCTGCGCGAACGACGACGGGGTGAACGAGACCTCTCGCGCTGTGCGTGGTCAGTATCGTAGTAATCGGCCGGCATCGACACGGATGGGGGGGGAGAAAAGAAGAAAAAAAAGGGAAAAAGAAAGAAAAGGGGATAGGAATAGCTAGAAAAGTATGACGGAGAGTGAATGGAGAACGAGATCTGCGCAGTGGCTTTCCAGGGTTGCAATTGGGTGTTCCGACTCCTTGGGACCGAAGGCAGCCTTCACACCATTGAATTCCGGGAGAGGAGAAGCCCAAGTCAGGTGACGGGGACGGGGACGGGGCGCTTAACAAAGCAATGGAGTAAGAATGGAGGACCCGGAGGACGGGACCCGCGAGACAGGTGGGGAGTTTCCTTCAGACCTGAAGCTAATGCACTGCCACCAGGGTGTCTTTTGTGATGGCTGTTTGGGGAAAAGGAGAACCAAAAAAAAGGGAAAAATAGAAAAAGAAAAGAAACAAAAACACCAGATACAACTGTTTCATGTGAGTTAGGAAACTGGCACCATGAATACCAACGCGGTGATATCTGGAGTCCGAACGTCCACCGTCCAAAATCGGCTGGTATACTTGGAACCCTCTAGCCATGGTCACCTCCCAACTGGTACGGATCGGTTGTGGTTTCTGGGGTGGACCAACTATTGCGCAAAACCAAGAAAATATAACAACACAAGGCAGAGTAAAAAAAAAAGAGAGAGAAAAGGAAGGATCATTTAGAAAATAAAAAGTATGAAGGAGGTATCAAACTGATGCAAGATCGAACGGTGTGGAGGGACAATACTTACTTGATATGGTCGATAAACGTCAGCTGCAGATTATACCTTAAATGTAAGCAACAAATTTGACGATCCTCAGAGCACGAGGAAATAGAAGTAAGAAGACAAAGAAATACCAGTCAGTGATGACGCGGATGGGGGATTTAGAACAGAGGAACAACTTAGGGAGTAGGAGAGAGAAAAGAAGGAAGATGTTGTGAAAGTGTGAGAGAAGAGGTAAAGGAGGGTAACGGCGGGGTGTGAGGGAAGAATAAAAAAAGCAAAGTAGCAGGATAAAAAAAAACAAAAAACAAATAGGGTAACAAGGAAAGCAGTGAATGCGAATGAATGCGCCCGTCCAATTCAGACCACTCTGTCAGACCTTCACTCGGGACGGGGAGGACAGGATGAAAGGAGCATGCGGTATGATTGGCGTTCCCGTGGGAAACCGAAATGCACGCCTTTCTGCCCGGTGGATAGCTTTGGGTAATCAGGTAAGTCAGAAGAGGTTTAGATGGACTGACCCTTCTTGCGATCTCCGAGGAGCCGGCGTAAGGACTGGGATGGGAGGGGGTGGACGATGATGGGTGGAGAGTAAGGCTACTAGTCCAAGGCACGGCATAAGAGGGGAAAGGAACAAAGTCAAAAAAGGGACGGCCGGTTCCTACAGTAGTGGGAAGCCCGGAAGTGAGGTGACCTTTCATGGCTGATGTGGATGTTGCAGCAGCTATCAAAAGGCCAAGATGGGGAGGGGGGAAGAGAGAACCCAGGGTAAGTATGGCAGGTGTCAGTCTTCAGTGGGTATAGGAGGATCAATTGGGTTCTGGAAATCCACTGAAACCCATCATTCTAGATTATAAGACCAACAGAAGGAGTGGGAATGTAAACAATGTGGTAAGGACATTGGGATGGGGGTTGCTGATGTTGATGGGATGTTTTTGATAGTAACCCTGAACGAGAATAATCATCCTGATTAAAAAAAAAAAAGCATATAACCAACAAACGGCCATGGAATCATGCAGAGAAGCAAATGTATAGGAGAGAATTAAAATAAACAAATAATAACAACAAAGACAGCACCAATAAAGAAAGCGAATTAAGTCACCTACCCATGCCGGTTCGTGATGCTGCAATCAAGAGGGGAGAATGGGGGAGGAGAATGAGAGGAGATGTGTTGTTGTGTTGTTTGGAAGGTCTGGACTGTTGTCACTGGAGAATGTCGATGCTGAATGGGCGGATGCTCAACACCCAAACAGGATTCCAGAGCAAATCAGAGGGACGAAGAGAGAGGGGGGGGGGGGAAGGGGATCAAAAGTACTAAAGGGAAAATAGAAAAACAAATTCTAAAAAACAAAAAATCAATAATATCGATTGGAACGAAACGAAAACGGAGAACCTCCGGAAAGTTCAGTCGACACTGTAATATTGGCAGGGGTGATGGTTGCAAGTTGGCCTTTCTTTAATATTCGTACGGTCTGATCTCACTGTCCTCGACCGGTCAACGTTACTTCCACGCGGGGGTGGGCAATAAGAACTGGGGAAAGGGAAGGGGGGAAATAAGACAATGGGAAGTGGAAGAGAGGAGAGGTAGTAGAGAAGCAGAGACAGAGACTTACATTAATTATGCCGACGGGGGAAATGAAAGGAAAGGCGGCAGGGACAAACAATCAAGAGACTCCGTAATCATGCGTTCAATATCGTCCCCATCGCAGATGAGATGAGATGCAGCTTGACTGTCATTCTGATGAAATGAACAATCGATCGCCCATGGATATTATTCAATTCTCGTTTAATTCCTATTTCCCATGCCACTCATCATCCAAGACCGGGATCAAGCTTTGCATACTGGTAGCCATGGCAGTGCAGTAATTATTACTCGAGATTCCATCTGCAAATCAAACCTTTAGCATCCCTATTAGGTTCTCTACTTTTTTTTTGTTTTTATCTCTTTGCGCTTATCCCCGTACATTGTTATATAGATTGAGTATTCATATCAGATGCGATAGGAATTTGATCCCAAATAGGAAATCAGCTATATAACTCGGGATGGAATCCTTTTTGCCTTGGCTTCTCGATCTTAGATAATCACCTGCAGCCTGTCTATACAGCATAGTAGATACCTTGAAATAATTCAACACCATATTAGCCAGGGATAACCCCATGGAGATCGATTCTAGTTCTCAACCAACAGTCAATTACACATGCGGGTATATACATCTAATTGACATGAACTCATATCCTCCAATACACAAGAAGTAAAAGTAACCACCCTCACCTTGAACCGATAAGAACTTGCACATCCTATCAACCCAATAGCCCTCCTCCCCTCCCCCCCCAGAATCAAAAGGAGCAAATACAAAAAGCATTAAACATTCACCCAACCCCGGTACCTCAGAAAGCAACCACAATCGCACATCATCTGACAGTACGAGGTTTAACTCCAGTCAACTTCCAATCTTGGCTCCGCTCAGGCCACCGCTTAAGCCCACCCGAGAAAATCCAACAGAATAAGTTCCGACAACACCCAAACCCTCGATCGCAACCACCAAACATCAAGCACGAACACCCAATAACCATGGCACAACCACACCATTTAACCCGCTACCACGCGGCCCTCCTATCAACTTCTAAACGTCAATTAGCCCGCACCACCCGCACCATCATCCCCCAATGCACTCGCCAATTCCAGCACCAAACCCGACCAGCCCGCCGTCACCCTACTCCAGCATACCTCACATTCTCTCCCCTCTCACGACCAACCAGACGACCCTACCACTCCGAACACCACCCTGACCCCCCACCTCACGAATACACCAACTCCCAAACTACCATCCTTTCCGCTGCTCTCCGCCATGTCCCGACCCACGGCTTCACTCGCGACGCCCTCACCCTCGCGCCCGCGATAGCGGCTTCCTGGATGTCTCGGTGCAATTGCTCCCCCGCGGAGAGTTCGACTTGGTTCTTTTCTGGCTAGCAAGCGTCGAGGATTATTGCGCGCCAGCGTGGACAATGGACTCTTCGAAAAGGATGAGCGGGTGAAGGCCGGACTGAAGTTGTCTGTGGAGGAGAAGACGAAGATCTTGATCATGGAGAGGTTGAGGATGAATACTGAGATAAGACATCAGTGGCAGGATGTATGTGCTCCCGTACTTGTCTCAAATCCTGCTATCTATGCCCGGGGGGGGGGGAATTGAGGCGCAATGATTCTGATTCTGATATTTGTTATCTATTATAGGCTCTGGCGCTTATGTCACTGGCGGGTAATATCCCTCTTTCGCTATCGGAGTTGCATGCGCTTTCGTCGGAAATCTTGACGCTCGCTGGTGATGCTTCGGTTGATGCGTCGTGGTATACGAAGCGGTTGTCTGTTGCGGCGATCTATGCTTCGTCGGAGGTGGTTATGACCCGGGATCAGAGTCCTGGTCTTTCTGAGACGGAGGCGTTCGTGGAGCGGCGTGTTGAGGATAGTTCTGCTATTGGGGAAAAGCTGACCGGATTCAAGCAGTGTTTAGGGTTTGTGGGGTCGACAGCCATAGGACTGGGGAGGAGCTGGGGATTGAAGATTTAATGGATGGCCCTGTATGATTTGTACTATTACTACGTCTGGTCTTGGTGGGTGTGTATATGCTTCTATTATGTGAGTGTCTTAATATACAGTATGTTTATGTTTCCTGGACACGTGTGACCAGTGCTACTGAGAAGGTCTTCTCTCCTGTACTCGTCGCTCAATCCGGTGCATCCACCCCTCTGGCCCGAGCAGCTCGCGGACGGCCTTCCGATTCGGTGCCAGATCCCACCACGGTTCACGGCGCGGACCGCGGTTCTCATTACGCATCCGTTTCCAATGCTGTTTCAAGTCCCGGTCACGCTGGTTGACGATTCCAGTTAACAGCCCGCACGTGCGATGGTTGGGCTCGATGCCAATCACCTCCATCTCCCGTAGGAGAGAAACCACTCCGGGGATGTCGTGGCAGCCGCGCCAGTAGAAGTAGATCAGCTCATTGTAAAGCCCTGTTGAACTACCTAGAACGGCAGAGGCACGGCCATGCGACTTAATCGTGGCTCGGAATTGGCTGATAAGCGGGGAATTGGGGAAGTGCAAGTTGAGAAGACGGAAGGCCACGAGCAGCATCTTGGGATATAGAGCCGTGACGACGGGCTCCACCGGAACCGATTTGGGAACCTCCAGATGAGAGGGCTCCGTAGGGGCATGGGGCGCTTGGTTCTTATCCTGGCCCATATCAAGACCCTGTACTAGACGGACATCCCCGAGGTGCTGCAGCATGGAGAATATCCTTTCTTTGCAAATGTCCCACACCCCCGTATCTTCTTTGCCCTGATCAATGGCTGCCCGGAGGGCGCTCTCAATCTTTCCCGCCTCTTTCTTCACAATCAGCTCAATCGCCTCCTCCATAGATATCTGATTGCTCTCCAGCAGCTCCGAAATATCCTCACTACTGTACTCGGACTTCCGGAGTCTCTCCTGCAACTCCATATTCTGAAGTGTAACCGGGGTATCTGTCTCTGCAGATTGCCCCTCAGCGGAATCTGTCGTCGCACTTTTGCGCTTTTTCTTCTGCTTCATGTCTTTAAGCACCGCCTCGAAAATCTCCGAGATCTGCGCCATTTCATTCTTGTCCTCCTCGCTCAGCTCCGGCTTCTGCGTTTCGGCTGTCGGTGTGTCGTTCTGAACAGCCCCCAGCTGTTCCAGCAGGTCGCTGAACACTTGTTTCTCGCCGCGGGTCATGGTAAGAGGGTTTGGTTTCACGTGGGGAGTCTTTCTCGAGACCGTAGCCGCTCGTTTATGCAGATAGCTGCGTCTTTCCGTGGATTCGTTACCGTGCTCGGTCTGAGGCTGCGAGCCTGCTGGCTTATCTGCGCTGCTGTCATTTTGGGAAGATTCTGTCTGGGACGGGTCGTCGGGGGTATTGGGGCTCGAAGTAGAGTATGTTTGCGAACGACATCGTAGCGGACGAGGGAAAGAACCAGAGAGCGTGCGAGTTTGATAAAGGAACGGAGCGAGTGAATTGCGTGTTGTCACTGCCAGCAACGACCGATGAAGATGTCCACTCATAGCGATCTTATATAGACAAATGCACTGAAAAGCTCTATTATAGCAATGAAAGACCGTTCAGCATGCTTTTCATATAATCTATATAAACGGCTCTGGGGTAAAAAAAAAATAGGCGTCTATTAGTCGAGCAATGCTGTGATGATGAAGCTTTATGTTGACTTTTTGCCTCTGCCGTGGAGATTAACGCAGATCAAAAGCCAATTACCGCTCTTAACCTCCACGTGACAGCGCGATGCCTGCGCGCGTTTCCTGACTTTCTCCGCGCCGGCGAAAAGGTTGCACAGGAACTCATTGTTATAATCGGACGAATCCAGACCAGCGCAAACACTCGCAGTATAGAAATATCTAGCGTCTCGCCATGGGTAACGAAGAGATCTCCGATTTCGAAAAGCAACGGCTTGCGAATATCGCGGAGCGCGATGCGCTTCTCAAGCAGTTATCGCTAAACGCGCAGTCCCTCTTCACGCCGACGTTGCCAAATCGTGCGACGGGGGCCCAGACAAAGGCGAAGAAAAAGCCGGCTCCGAAGAAGATCAAGAAGGAAGAGGAGTCACCTGCGCCGCGGCGCATGTCCTCACGTCTGAGAGGTATTGCGGCAGATAGTGAGGTGGCGAAGCGGAAAGCAGAGGAGCAGCACCAGGCTTATCAGGAGGCAGAGAGGGCCAAGAGAGTGAGGAAGTCGGATCCATTCTCACTGGATGAGATATTCGTTTCGGGCCAGAAGCTTAGTGGGGATGGCTTGCTTGGTGTGGATGTTGTTACGAAAGGCGTCGCGGTGCCTTATCAGCGGACCTTTGGCGATGATGATATCAAGAAGACAACGGATAAGGAATTGAAAGCTGTGAGAAAGGAGATGAGTGAATTGCAGCTGTGGGAGCCTTGGGAACCTGGCCGTATGATATACACTTGCTGCGCATGCGTTGCTTTCGCATGCTAACTGTGGTTTAGGAATCAAGCTCACACCCGAGAGAGTGTATACCATGACATTCCACCCATCGGAGACCAAGCCATTGATCTTTGCTGGAGACAAGATGGGTCACCTCGGTGTCCTGGACGCATCACAGGAAAAGCCGATTTCAGTGAAGCAGGAAGACGACGAAGATGAAGAGGACGATGACCCTGACCCAGTCCTGACGACCCTTAAGCCACATACCCGCACAATAAGTTCCATGGTAATCCACCCTTCCAACCCGACTCGTTTATATACAGCCAGTTACGACAGTTCCATCCGAGAAACCGACCTGGAAAAGACAACATCGGTGGAACGGTACGCCCCTGATTCAACGTCAGACGACGTTCCATTGTCTGGTCTGGACATGGCTGCCGATGACTCTAACACTCTCTATTGGACTACCCTGGAGGGTGAGTTCGGCCGATACGATATACGCACACCCAAGCAAGACTCGGTAGCCGTCTGGAGTCTATCCGAGAAGAAGATAGGCGGATTTTCGCTACTCCCGACGCAGCCGCACTATTTTGCGACGGCTAGTCTGGACCGGACCATGCGACTGTGGGATATCCGGAAGCTATCACGTCGCGAACCTGTTGCTGTGGGAGAGCACCAGAGTCGATTGTCCGTTTCGCATGCGGCGTTCAATAGCGCCGGACAGGTTGCGACATCTTCTTACGATGACAGTCTGAAGCTGTATGACTTTGGTGCCAAGGGAATTGCTTCCTGGAAGCCAGGACATACCCTTTCAGATGAAGAAATGAAACCCGACACGGTGGTACGGCACAACTGTCAAACTGGACGATGGGTTACCATGTATGACCCCTATCCAAAAGTAACGATTATCAGGTGAAAGGGAGGACTAACCCACCATCTTATAGTCTCCGTCCTCAATGGCAAATAAATCCCCAGTCGCATATCCAACGATTCTGCATCGGAAATATGAATCGCTTCGTCGACGTCTACAGTAGTTCGGGTGACCAACTGGCGCAACTCGGAGGCGACGGCATCACTGCCGTACCCGCCGTTGCGGTTTTCCATCGAAGTAAAAATTGGATAGCCGGTGGTACAGCCAGCGGAAAAATATGTTTATGGATGTGAATTGGCTACATCATGAGCGTTGTGTATATGTGTTTACAGGTCTCTGTTGCCTCCCAATAATCTAACCCTATTTTGCTTGGTCGTTCCTTCGTTGCTTCGTTCCACGTCATACTCTGTGGGTTACCGATTGTACAGAAATCAAAGGAGACTATATAAACCATTCATGAATCAAGGACTTCAACCAGCAGGAGTCGTGGTCTATCCGCGCCAATTGGATACTCATTTCGTCTATGCCAAAAATAGAAAGTGAAGGGAAAGACACTATTTACACAAATCGAGACACTGTTTTTTGCAACAGTCTGGTTTAACAAGACCCTTGCCGTTCACAGCAACCCAGGACAGTGATATTTCACATCCAGCGTTACTCGCAGGATCTCTCGCTTCCCACGTCAAAAACAGCAATCAGAGCAGGGTATCAACACCATGACAAATGCTTTCCAAAAATTGGGAGAAGTAGAAGGGAAAACGCGTCAAGTCATGAGCACATGTGTAGGGGAAAAGGAAGAATGTACACCGTAAGATGCAGGGATTTGTTTGCACAGATCCGCCGTGTTATACAAAACCGTTGCCGCCTGCTAAAAAATTTTAAAGGACGATCAGTTCAGCATCCACGGTTGCCTAAACCAAAGCCAAAACGCATTCCAAGGTAAAGAGATGAAGAGGAAGCCTCCCTGGAGAGGAAGATAGAGATCAAAAGGATGAAAAGGTGATAACATGCGACAGCCTTGTCACCTTGTGTCGGCACCGTGAGGTGTAAATTGCGAAAGGGCTATATAGATGGGTTAGCCAGTAAAGGTAGGCCAGGTTGCCCGTCAAAACTCATTTCGGAGTTCTTCTCGAGATTGCTGTTGAGCATGCTCTCGGTCCCTCGCGCGGCGTCTAGATGTAGCCGGAACAAAATCAAAGAATCGGTACTTGCTCGTCGTCTCCCTGGTGATACTAGACCTGCGAGGCTTAGAGGAGTCTGGATATTCAAGAGAATAAGTCGAAGAATTCTTGGAACTACCAGTGCTATCACGTGTGTCTGACCATCGTGGTATCGAGAAAGGCACACGGCTCTGGTCCCATGTAGCCGACGAAGAGCTTGGAGGGGTATCATCATCACCGCCGTCAGCGGCATAATCGGTTGACCGGCGAGGGAGAGAAGGCCGCGAAGCAAAGTAGCCGATTGAGTTTCGGTGACTTCCGGTGATAGATGCAGATCCCGCAATTGCCGTCTCCGTGGCCGGCGTGGTGGGCTTGGAGCTCTCCTCATAGAAAGTGGCCGACCGTTCCATAGAGTCAACGAGTTCTTCCCACTTGACCTCGAGATCTCCACTTGGGCGCTCTGCTTGCTCGGCTTTACTCAAACATTCCTTGGTACGTCGGTCGAGGTGAAGCGCCATGTCATGGAATTTCTTGAGTGCCGGGTCCAGCTCCTCTATCTCGTTAAGCCTCTGGGGTGCGCCTTCAAGCCATATCCGAATCAAGATCGCAAAGCTGCGAGGGTGGTCTATCAAGAAAGGAAGACTAGGGAAACCTTCCCGTGACGTGGGAGGTAAGCGACCAAGGATTTGAATTGGGGTGGCATAGGACGGTGTGACGATTGGAGTTGGTCGGTCGGCGGGTATTGCACAGATTGAATCCACGAACTGTTTGAAATCGGCACGATTGCCTACCAAGAACTTGTTCATAGGCTCCATCCAAGGCTCTTTGCTCCCGAACGTAGTCATGTTGGCCAATCCTTGCAAAGCTTTCGCAATCAGGGTCAAAGTACGTTGGGCTCGAGGGCGAGGGTGATCTACATCTAATGTGTTAGTCATAAAATGGAACGGTTCGAGGCCAGTAAAAGCATACCTTTCAGCAATCCAAACAGCTTTGGGTTGAGGATTGCTGGACAGAAGAACCGCAGAAACAAAAAGCCCGAGACGCTACTATAGGTGACAGTGCGTAGAAAATCGCCGTAACGATCTTCTGCGCATGCCCTGACATGACGAAATATTAGTCGCAGCTCGGAAGGGCATCGAGACGCGGAGTTTGCAATCGATTTCCAAACACTGGTGGTGAGAGAGATGAGATTTCTCCAGTTGCGTTCCAGATCATCCGAACGATGCACACGAGAAGGGTCTACTTCACACTCCGGATCGCTCTCGTCTATATCACGTAGACGCTCTCCGATTGTTTCTTCGAGATACTCCTTTCCTAGTCTACGCATATGGTAGTCCAGCGCCTTCGTTAGAAGGGAGTTGCCTCGGAAAAGAAGATTGGCCTCCACGGTTGCCGTTCGCCCCAAATCCCTTACGAGGACTTCTCTATCCTGGCCAGACTCTCTTGTGTCATTGGAATGGATCCTGGTAGTATATCTAAGCCTGTTCGCGGTCGATTCCTTGTGAACCCCATCAATCTCATCTTCGACCAGGGCCGATATCCACTCAACGGTGGTCCCCGACACCTGAAAGATGTTCAAGAGCGCCTCTGATAGTAATGTAAGTTCCGAAGATAGAATCTGGGCCATGTTGATGGAAAGTCCATTGGTGAAAGAATGGAGAAGCTCCGACATTGGGGTGTATTCATGGGACATAAGAACGACCGTTTCTTCCATCCGAGCTCTCATCAGCATCTCACCTACGGGTTGGTCTCGATCATCAAGGATCGGCCACCACTTCTCGACCTCCACGCCCGGCTCCAGGTCATCCAGTCGAAGTTCTACCCTTCCAAATGTCGCGTCGTGAGAGGACAGCTCAACGTCATCCAACACACGCATAGGGTAGCTATCCTGATTCAAGGCATACGACCCATGCGCGATAAGTGACCAGTCTTTTTGGGACGGATTGGGGTTCTTTACAAGGATCGAAACTTGGGATAAGACAGGCGGGAGGTCATTGAAAGTGAAATCTTCCCGCCAGAAAGGATTTGCCGTGCGGTACTTGACAGCGGTTTTGGCCCGGATCTCTCCGTCTAGCAAGACCTCAGTATAATAATCGTTCACGGCGCCCGTTGGCGTCGAGCTGCTATGAGACCGGGATTGCTTGCGACTTCGAGGGGCCTCCTCCGACTTGCCACGGAATAATTTGGCCTCGGTAACTCTCACAGTGAGCATCCTCTCAATCCGGAACATGTCCGCTATAGAGGCAGCGGAAGCATCGGATCCTGGAGCCTTCGCCGGATTGTCTTCGATTGACGTTTCAGGACCGTATAGTTCTGGAATTGTGAAGGCACGCAAAAGAACGAACCATACCTCAAACAGCACCCGGCTTTCGAGGGCTAGGTACACCGGACGTGTCAGCCCCGATACGGAGTGCGCCGCATACTGCGGATATATGGCAATACAGAATTCGTCTTCCAAAACCGACGAGTTCAACCGTTGGACGGCACACCGGGAGAGCTGAGACAATTGGATGCAGTGCACAAATGTGATGTCAGATTCGGTGAAGAGTTTGAAAACGCCATTCTCCTGCAGCGTGCAGCTGACCCTTTGCCAGGATGACGAGAGCGCACGTTGCTGACGGTACGTTGAAATCCGGCGACCAGACGAAGGTCGAGCACCCGAGGCATTTGGTCTATCCCATAGGAGCATCTTGCCCACTTTGATAATGGCCGCTTCTTTCTGAACCGTGCTTTCAGAGTTTCTCCGACGGTCGGCAAGACGACGGTCACCTATTGCAACCGATTGAGGCTTGGTCATTTTATTCTGGACACCCTTTGGCCTGATTGGCTGCCAGCACAACAACGCAGCGAGCCACGAATCGAATGTCTCGCTCACATGAGGCCTCAACTCCACCCCAAGACCAGAGGTAAATGTAGATACGCTGAGATAATTCGTCCGAAGCTCGGGGTCGACGAGGGAGCGGACCTGGCAGCCGCGAAGGTCTGGGATTAAGGTCTTAGCTAATGCGGGCTCTCCCTTGGCCTGGTATATCAGACTTCCCGTGGCAACGTTGATCGCGCAGTAACCGGACGTCCATGCCGTGGTGTTGGCGGTCCGAAAGGAAAGAATGCCATGCATCCTTCCACATGTGGTCTTCATCAGCTGGAGGATTTTCGCAGAATCGGTACTCGACAAAGGCGACGGAGGAGGGTTGGTAGCGACACTCGCCAGAAAGTTGGAGCCCCCGGAGACTCGGCTGACCCGATGACGTCCGAGGGTTTGGCTGAGATAGGTGGGCGATTGTATTGATGGATACCCGATTGAGCCAGTCGGTTCGTCTGAGTGTCTTGACTGGGGCGTTGCGGCATTGACGGAGCCTAGACGACTCCGGGTTTGAGGTAGAAAGAATTCGGGGAGAGCTCACTGCGCTGGTCTTCCAAAGTGGTGGTTCGCGATCGCGCCCGTTGGCTCTTCGATTCCACTTGAAATTCTTCCTCATCGCCCGCGGGGTGGTAAGATTGAAAATCGCGACGAGTATCTAGATTGGCAGGCCTCGTTCTGGCGGTCACACGAGGCGAAGGGGCTGCGCTTGAAGAAAGATGCTCCGCGTCCGAGAGAGGAGAATGATTCGTGGTCTCCGTGGTGGAGTCCGGCGTTACTGTGCGGATGCCTGTATCCCTAAAGCTCTCGGGGTAGACCATGCCGTGACGGTCCCTCGATGACGATTTTTTGCTTGGACGCCGCTCCACTGGGCGGCTGTAGAAACCCTGGTGTATGGAGTTTCGTTTGGGCCCATTTGAACCTTCGGGCTCCATCTTGTTCCGTCACGCACGATGAAAATCGGACAGTAGCGGCACTCTCGAGAGCGATCGCTACAAAACACGCAGGACGCAGACGGACACACGTACACACATGTACTCATGTAAAATGTTACCTTGCAGATGTCGGCACCCAACGTACGCTGCGCAACCGTCCTCGAATAATGGAGGGTCTGTGTCGTCCAATGGGTCACGAGCTGAACGCATGGAGTCCGGGGAGAGGTCGACAAGTCGAGTCGCACATTCGGTCAAGGCCGGCGCGTTTAGAAATCCAGGCGAAGGACGAGAGCTGAGGGGGACCAAGACC